ACTCTTTCACAGAGGAGAAATGAACATTTCTAGAATCCACTGAAGGGTAGTTAAAAAGATTTGTAGGTTTTCATCAACGTAATAACTGGAGTTGGTTGTACAGACAATAATGAAGAAGCAATAGACTTGGTTTAACCAACGCAAACCAGGAACTCTTTCAGCACCAGGTGAAACATGAGTGGTAAGGTCCACACAGGATGTGCTGAAAGCTGCAAATCTGCTCCAATGGTGAGAATCACAATGGTTTATTTCTCTGTATGAGTGTGTACAATAAGAATCTTATCAAATCAGGACCCTGCTTCAAAGCTGTCCCTGATCCCAAGGGCTCTCTCGACTCATCTTACTCTTGTGCCTAATGTTATCCCCAGGCTTTGCGACCAAGCATCGATCACTCTGTCTCCTGAAATCAGCCGCTCCTCTTGACTCAGCCACCTGAACCTTACTGATTATGCTGTCCTGCATATTGAAGGCCTGGAGGTTCCCGTTCCCAACTCCCAACTCTTTTATCTTTGCTTCTAATTCATAGGCCCACCACGTCATATTTTCCTACAAACCCACCAAGTCACATTAAATCCCAGACTTAAATCTTACTCACTCACTCAGCCCATGACGACCATCCAATTAGCCTCTAACTAAAATCTTGGCCTCTCAACCTTCTTGAGCAACATTGCTGTGTATCCCTGGATGAAAAAACAGTCACTCTGTCCTAGCAATCTTCCTTATAGCTCCGAGCAAAGGCTTCAGCAAGTGTCCCTCATACGATCCAAATGACATCTGGTGTTGCACTTTGTGCATCTGTCACATGAATAAATTCCTTTTGGAAGTTGCTCCATTTTGTAACTTCGCATACTCAGCTCACTGATGCATAATAAAATAGTACTCTAAAAATAAACTGAAGGGATGGTAGACTGACTGGTCTAAACAGGATATATCTGGGTGTGGCACCCAGGTACCAGATCAATCTTTTAAGTTGGGCTTAATAAGTGATTTCAAACTGCCAATGTTACCTGACCTCACTCTGCAGTTCATTTTAAAGTTTCTACTCCCCATTTTGTAACCTGTATGTACATGTAATCTTTTCTTTCTATTTAAATTGGTTCTTGCATTCCATTGCTGTTTGTGATTCAGATAGCAGTCCTGCTGCCAAATTATTAATGGTTCACAGACTGCTCAGCTAAAATAGCCTTTAATATCACTCTCAATCATTAACATTCTTCCTTAGGACCATCACACAAATATACTGACAAGTACACTTGTACACAAAACTGCAAAAGAGAAAATTGGAACAAAATAACTAAACAAAACTATTTTAAAATCACAAGATTGGTTTGGATGAAGAAAGCCCTTCTGCCCGTTTGATCTGATCCTTACAGACCATCCACCGTCCTCCCATCACAGACATGAGCTGTTTGTTGAAAGAGTCCCAATGGCTTCCTAGTAACCCATTCCAGTCATTTCTAAACCCATTCCAGTCTGGTTCTACTGTCTTAGTGCATTAGACAGTATTCTGCATTGTTTGAAGTGTCGTTCTTTGGATGAGACTTTAAACCCAGGTCTCATCTGCCTCTTCAGATGGATGTTAAAGATAGGAGATCACAATTCGAAAAGAGAAGGGAGTTTCTGGGCAACCAAATCCCCCAGATAAAATTGGTCACTCATTTCATGCCTGTTTGTGGGACATTACTGCATGCAAAATGACTGCCACATTTGTATACAAAATGCACAGTTTCTACATTTTACAGTAAATCCTGTGAAGTGCTTTGCAACATCCTCCCGGCATGAAATGCGCTATATCAAATGCAAGGCTTATTATTATTATTAATATGGTGGATTATTAAGTAATCTATTTGAGTGAGGCATTGAGCTCGGAACTAGAGAACAGAGTTTTGAAATGAAGAGACTAGAACTAGAGTCCGTGGAGTCCTGTAGCTCAGTGGTTAGAGCACTCGCTTTGCAAGCGAGAGACCTGAGTTCAATTCCAGGCAGGGCGAGACCTTGGGCAAGTTTCCTTACTCCACACAGAGCCTAATAATAATCCCTCCAAAACCCAAACAATAATAAATTGGTCATTTTCAATCCACAACTGTTTGTGGGACACTGCTGTGCGCAATTGGCTGCCGCGTTCGCCCACAAATATACAGTCAATTCACTTTACAGTATATTCTGTGAAGCGCTTTGGGACGTCCTCCCGACGTGAAAAGCGCTATATCAAATGCAAGGATTATTATTATTATTATTATTATAGAGGAACATCTTTAAACTTCTCATTCTCTACCACCTCCACTACTTCATGGAGTAGTGGAAGCGTGCAACACATCCAAAAACAAAATTGAATGTTACGGGGATGCTGAGGTGAACAAATATAACATAAGACACAGATTTTCTACTCCTGGAGAAAGAAGAGAGGAGCAGCTCAGTGTGGACTAGTGGAAGTATGGGGTTGCCTGAATATTCTGGAGGTTTTACTCAATTTCCTTTGCTGGCCAGAGAATAGGCATTAGGTTCTTAGGGATCAACAAGTTAGTGTGCACTGTGGTTGTAACATAAGCTTTCCATTCTGTATGACTCAACTGCTGGCTGAATTAACTCACTGAGCCTTCAAAAGAACCAGCAAGGTTTTTTTAAAATAAAAGTTCATCAGATTTGGTTGCAGTGCAGCTGAATTTGGCATCAGTCCAACTGGAGTTCTGCTGAACCCAATGACACTGATTCTATTCTCAATACTGTAGTACGGAATTGAAAATGGACACCTGCAAAACCTGATTTATTCTATCATTTAATGGCAATTCGGTGTCAATATCATATTGAATCAACACGAGCAGTACAGCTAAAATGGGCATTAGACAAAACCTTGAAACAAATGAATGCTTATTTATAATGTAACACATGGTAAAGCTTAGGACCAACATGATATAGGAATGATGTATACAAAGTTAGGTATAACTGTAACACTATAATTTGTACTTAAAGGGCCATTGCATTCAGAGTGAACAGCTCCATCGTATCCGACATGGCGGCACAATTTTCCACCTGACAATTGCATAGATTGCATAAATTTTAAAAAAAGCATTTGCACTACACAGTCACTACACTTTATAACAAAATCTTAGTGAAGCACTTTGAGAATTTAGTATATCCCATATCAAATGCAAGAATCATTATTAATACAGTAGCATGCCTCAGTAGCGAATTAGTAGTGCCTTAAACACATGTTGTCACTGTTGATAATACTATGGAGGCAAAGTCCTTCATTACATCAAAGGCTAAAGGGAGTCAGTAATTCCCAACCCTTTTATCGTTGTGAGACTGTGGAACCACACCCCTTCAGTTGTTTTGGGAAAACTTCCCTTATTTTCCAGCCATGTAATCCATCACAAAACAGTCAACAAATCACTGAAGCTTTTCGTTTGCAATAACTTTTTCTTTCACCAGCATTGGTCAGCAGAGCTCTGTGCATGTGCTTGCTGCGCAGCCCTAGCTTAATGCGAAGAGGAGCTGGAAGAATATATTGAGCTCTCTTCTCTCAATTACTTCATCCCTGGAAGCCACATCACCTCATTTTCAGCAGCATAAACAAGTGCAAGATTTACAAGGTTCTTGTTCCTAATCTTTACAGAGGACGTAAGTTGACGAGATAAATTTATATCAAAATATGTGACTTCAGGGCAGATAATTGCTATCTTGTCTTTTCTGCAATGAAGGAGATACAACTTACATTTATGTACAGTAGTGCTTTTCACGTTGGAACAAAGTGCTTTAATGAAAAGAACTCACAAGTTATCCTACTCTTTTGGTCCCCGAGACAACATCACCCCATTAAGATGAGAATTAATAAATAAATTCATAAATAAATATAGATAAATAAATTCATCCGGAGTCACCGTAACAAAATAGAGGAATTGTAAAGTTACAGTAAGCTGGCAAAATTCAGTTTCCGTGCAGCAAGTCTGGATTTGAATCTTTAAGAAAATGGGCAGTCATAATAAAAGTCTAAGTCCTGGCAAGTACACCACGGTAACCTTGCAGATTCTGGTAACACGCTTGATTATCTGGATAGAGAACAAAGGGCAACAGAGTCCTGGTTTAAATTGATAAATGTAACGGTTGTTTACAGAGTTTTTAAAAGGTATTGTCATTAGGAATTTCTTGCTTACAAGCCTGAAATTCCTGATATAAACAAACCACCCACTCAGTAGCATCCAATGCAGCATCAGTAGCTTTTTATCTGTTCAAGCACAAGGAGAGCACTAATTTTCAAGATTATACCCCTCGCTCTTCAAACTGGGCCCCGATGTTTACTTTCTCCAAAGAAATGAGTGGTATTAAAAAAAACGTCATGGCATTGCATACTGCTGTTGCTATTGGTAACAACTTGAATTGTTCTAAAGCCACTGTAATAACCATTCGATTGTCCAGTCCGCTTTCTCTTCCCCTGTCCTGGATGACAATGTCCATTTAAAATGACCACAGACCATATAGTTCTGATGATGCACAAATCACGCTTTTGATTCAAGAACATGTTTGCAGTTTAAGCTGAGCCTGACTAAAAAGCAATTAACATGACTAAAAGGCCACAAAACCTAACTTGGGAATCGAGAGGAGGAAACGTCACACACTAATCCAACTAAAGTTAAAGCAACATTTATCCAGCTGTAGTCTCAACCACAGTGGTCAACGGATATCAAAACTATGACAAATGTCCTTCTAGAGAAAACATTTAAATGTTTAATGGGGACAACTTTTATGTCCTGACAGGTGCGGTCCAAACACAATCATAGCAATTCAACAATTTAAGATCATCCCTTCCAGATAAGCCTCGATTCATCAAACCTCACAAAGCTTTTGATGCACTGATTGTCTCCGATTGCCAGCAAAGCAGCACTTCTCCCCTCCTCCTTCCCTTCTGGTTGTTGTTTGCAAAGTAAGACTCAGCTAACGGTGTGTGGAGAGGAATATGTACTTTGATGCTCATGCTAAAAGATACAGTATGCCCAACTCACCTTCATTCTCCCCCATTTCATTATTTCCACAGATACAAAGTTCTAGATAGTGAAGAAAAATAGATGTCTTTATGTAGCCAGGACATAGAGGAGAAGCATATGTCTTTCACTGGTCATTCTTTTCTGGTCCACAAACAGCTTCACTCAGTTCAGTTTACAAGAGAGTGGGTCATGTGATCAGAAAAGTTCAAGCCCTAAGGTCACAATCTTTGCTCTGTCCAGTTTGCTGTGTCACAGGATACTGGACTGCAGAGAGGGGCTGGGGGTTGGGGATGGGAGCGGGGGAGGAGACCCTGGAAATCACGCTGTGAATAATCAAGAGCTTGCAATGCCCATTTGCTGTCAATAAAAACATAGCGAAAAAACAGATCATGCAAACTTTAGCCAAGCTGCAAAAAATTGAGAGAAAGTTGCTTATCCTTACTATCTGAAATGTTTTATTTGTCCTTGTCTTATGCTTCCACCCTCTGGAGCTCCCTCCCTCAGCCCCTCCATCTCGCCCCCTCTATATCTGTCTTCAAAAACTGCCTGAAAACAAACCTCTTTAACCATGCCTACAGTCAGCTCCCTTCCTCCCCATCTCAAACATGACTGTTTGTGGGACACTGCTGAGTGAAATTGGCTGCCACGTTTTGCCCACAAAATACACAGTCAATTCACTTTACAATATATTCTGTGAAGTGCTTGAGACGTCTCACGTCATTGAGATGATTTTTTTTATCTCCCCATCCCTCACTTGACTCAGAAAAGCGCAACAAGAGGTTACTGTATGTAAAGGGCGCTGTATAAGTTGTTGTTGTTCCCATTGCCTCATTCTACAATGGAGCCAGATCAGTCTTTAACTTCAGTGATATTTCTTTCCGTCAACTCACAACAAGATTACGACGTGTTGCACATGTGGAGCTTTGGTTTAAGTTCAGCTACCACTTTCCTGATTGGAAAATGTGATTCAAAGTTCACAAACAACACTGGCCCCACTTTAGTGCAGACTTGCTAACACTTGATGAAACAAAATCTTGTGGTGGCGCTAGCAAAGAGTAAATTAGAAGCTAGCATGCATGCATGTGAATGTTTGTGAGGGAGCGAGGGAATAAGCAAGCTTGGGTAGGGTCACAGGGTAGCGAAAGAAAGTGTGGAGACTGAAAAAAGTTCAGACTTAGAATGGGGGAGAAAAAGAAGAGGTAGTCAGCCTGGCCTGAATTATGTTTGGGTGAAAGGAAGCGAAGAGAAAAGGCTAAACATCTAAATATAATGTATCTGCCTTTAACATTGTCAGATATGGAGGTGGATGTCTCAAAGTTCAACGTTTTCATGGACTAAACAAAAGCATTTGAGTATGAGCGTGGTTTACGAAGCAGCTGAACAACTGAGAAAAGACATTGTAAATATCTATGTGCTGTTGCTGCCCTGCTATATATGAAAGCAGCACAACTGAGTCTGTTTACTTAGTGCCATGCATTTAAAGCTTATGATTGATCATTACCAGTCAGGGGAAGAAGCTGTAGTATTCCACAGACCAGCAGAATAGCCCAGGCCAGAGAATCCCAGTATAATTTCTATCTTTTTGTTGTGCCTTCAAATAACAATCACCCTTGAATTTGATATCATGCCTTATCATGTCAACATGCCGCAAAAGTTTTACTGTAAAGCTGATTGGCTGGCTGTTTCACAGTCATTGCAGGTAAATGCAAATGTCAATTTCACAACAAAGTCACACAAAACCCTTTTTGCTATCTGGGAGAGGAAAGTGCAGCCGAGCAAAGGCCACATCTCTACCCTGCACAGTATCCGTTCATGGCAGAAGAAAGTTCTAGGTGGAAGCACTGGAGACAACCCTTACATCTACACTGAAGTTTTGAGCTGCCATCAAAGACTGAGGTGCCATCGGTGGCAAAGTTACGAAGTAGCGCGACAAATGTTGGTCTGTTACAAGGCTTTTCCCAACTCACTTCTGAACTACCCTCCACCAGGTGTACAAAAGATTGAACTATTTCTTCAATTGCCATGATGGAATTCTCAACTCTGAGCTCTAAGCCCAAATTGCCCACATCAGCTTGCAAACTTTCTGAGAGGACAGTTGTGAAGGGAGAACCTGGCTGATGCACCGAAAGAGTTACTTCACAGGGTTGCGAGGCTATTAACACAGTTCAAAATCATAGGGAGTAGCAGAATTGTAAAGTGATCCATTGAGGGAATAAAGGCGTGCAAAATGTGGCTTTTCACAAAGGTCTGATGTGAGATCATATTGCATCAGTCACAAAATGCCACATTTTCACCTCACCACAAGTCACCTTGTGACTGTTTCAAAGCAAGATCTTGATTTCTTTCATCCACTCCCTGTTATTTAGCTGCTCATTGCACAAACCTAACTTTGTTACACAAACAAACACAACTCGTATGTAATGGAATCAGCGTGCATGATTGTGTGTGTGTTTTTGGGGTGGGGAGGAGGGGGATCAGGAATGCAACAGAACCATTTAAACAGGAAGCACCTGCCAACAGGAGAAATCCCATTTAGACACCAATCTACACCAGGCCACTAGACTAACTAATGAGAGGAAAAACAGCTAAGACCACATCTCTGATTATAATCCACACAGTATCAAGAACAGCAGGAGTTTCAGTCTGTACAATACACAAAGGTATAGATCTGACTCCGCTGTGCTTGCTAAGTGTAGCAGATCTTTTTTTTGAGGCATACTAGGACAGCACATCAAAAGCATTGTTCATTTAGTAAACTGAGCAGAGTAACTCCTTTTGACTGGGTTTGGTTTAATTAATTCAACCTGTGCAACTGACTTGTGCCTGGGCACTAAAATGGAGTTTCCTGTCTGGCATTGGACAGGTTCACAGCAATACTGAAGTTGTATATAAAGATGAGATGGAACTGTGACTAGACTGACTAATGAGAGGATTTTGTTACCACTTACACAGCCAGTTTGCAGTTAGCGACAGACATGATCGAATGATTACCCTCCTTTCGAGGGGCGGGGGAAGATATGATTCTATAGATAAATATTTGAAGAAGAAAAACATAAAAATGTATGGGGAAAGTGTGGGATTAAATAAAAATCTTTCAGAGTACTGGTAATAGGCCTGCTCGCTCCCAAAGAATCTCAATTTCATAGAATGATAGAATTCCTCTTTGCAATTGAATTCTATCATTCTATGAAATTGGGTTTCTCTGGGATCGAGCTGGCTCTGGTGTGACAGGGGCTAAGAGCAACAATTAGCCAAACTAGATCTGTTCAGTCTTAAAAGGAGAAGGTTCAGAAGGGACCTTCTAGAGGTGTATAACATTTTAAATTTGAATGGAAAAATAAACCCAGAAAAACACTGTAGGATGCACTGGGAAAGTGGAACAAGAAGACATGGGTTTAAGAGTTGCAAAGGACAATTTCAATACAGCCACCAGGAAAGTTCTCTTTACCCAGAATAATTAATAACTAGAATAGGTTGCCAGGAAGGGTGGTTGAGACCAGGCCATTGGATCGGTTAAAAAGCAGCTTGATAGTGCAATGGGAGGACAGTATGGTGGGTATCCTTGAAGAATGATATCAAATACTGAAGGGTCTATTTGATCTCATTCTTCAAGATTATCCAATATTCACCAATTTATCTTGTAACCAGTGAGAGGAGATTGGCAGCTGGTCAGTTCTACCAAGAAAACCTTGATCTGGTAACTGAACCAGAAAAGTCCCTGCTGGTACCAGAGACTCTGAAATACCGGAAGGATTGATATGAGGCTCGAAGATTGTGAGGCTAATTGACATTTCTGTCTTACAAGACATAAATTCTTATTTAATGCATAACTGTTGTCAAGGTTCAGTTGCAACTTGATTTTGGCTGCAGACCGATCTCAAAATGCACCATGTTTTGAAAGAAGTTTGTGTCTGTAATTCCCCACTCGGTGAGCTCCTGACTTCAACTGTGCCTCTACGGCAGTTTCTAAGTGGAAATCAAGCATTAACCAATAAGTAGAGAGAGCATCATCTCTATGATCAACAGTTCTAGTTCAATAGAACTCTTCCACTGCCAGAAACTGGGATATATCTGCTTTCCAATAGAATTCACTTGAGCTCTTTTACTAGAAGCAGTTTTTTTCCTCCCTCTTTTCCCTTTTTGTTGTTTAAAGGAAATGGAACACATTGATCCCAGTTCAGTCTACACTACAGAGTTAATTGAGGTCTGGAGGCACCCCAAGGTCACATATGAAGTGATGAATGCTGCCAATAAAGTTTGGTCCATGTAATCACCACTGGTTTAGAGCAGTAATGATAGCAACAGAAATGAGAGTCTGTCACAATTTTTTTAAAATTCCTATCCTGATTCAAAAGATTCATCTATACACCAAAGAAATTTAAGAATATTCCACCAGGATGATCCTGTAACCTGGGTGACATACTGAGAGTGTACTACATTGGCTGTTCAAGAGGATGTTGCATCAGACACATATGGTTAACTCCTACAGTGCTGCACAGGATGGTAGATCTTAAGTGCAGTGATGATAAAATCTGTGTAACCCAGAATATATATTTTTAAAAACAACCTCATCAATTGTGTCTGCCACTGGTGACTATATATAAAATGTAATGTCAGTTTGAACCCCCACTCAGAACATTCTGATATGCGAGACCTGGGACTGCCAACACATATTTTTGGCTAACCGTGCACCCACACCATCCCACACCACAGTCACAAAAAGGTTACATTATGAAGCAACATACTTAACAAAAATAAGACATTTGAAAAAAAGACAGTGAAGTTTTAGGGAAATGAGTTAATTTAACCTAAAGAGGGTTCTACAGGACTTCCAGCAAACAATAATCTTACAGGATGAAGAGATACAGAATGTCAGGAGCAGCTCTGAAAACTATTGATGAACATCCATTGATTGGAATGCTCAAAGGACTACTTGGGCTGGACTATAGTGCTGATTATTGAAGCTTGGATAATAATAACAATAATAATAATAATCCTTGTATTTGATATAATGCCTTATCATGTCTTCAAGATATCTCAAAGCACTTCACAAAATAT